TGCAGAAATTCTTGCTCGGTCACAGAAGCAAACAACACAAAACTACTGGAGTGAGTCCTGCTAAATTGTTATTTGGAAGAGAGATTCGTTCAAAGCTCCCAGGTGTGGAAGAGCTGCGCTCAGCTAGTAATGACATCGAAGTCTTGGACAGAGATCGTGAAAGAAAGCAAAAGGGCAAAGACTATGCTAATAATTTCAGAGGTGTTTGTGAGTCTAACCTGAAAGAGGGAGACAAAGTTCTTCCTCAGAAACCGAAGTCAGACAAGCTCTCACCATTATTTGAAGCCACACCCTATGAGGTGGTCAACAAACAAAGAAGTCATGTGGAAATTAAGTCTCCTGCTGGCGTCCACTACAAAAGAAATGTTATTCACCTACAGAAGAATGACGAGGATAAATCACAAGAGACAGCAGCCAGCAATCCTAAATGGACATTGTCAAAAGACCCAGAAACTAGTCAGAAAGAGGAACCAAGAGTTTCAACTCAGCATTATGCGTTGCGGCCCAGGCGCAATCGTCAACCTGAGAGGCTAAAAGATTATGAACTCGGTTAAGACTTTGTTTACAGGATGGACAGTTCTTGAGAAGGACATTTCACTTTTATAAATATGTCATTTTTGTATTGATTTCAGTCTTGGACATTGGAGCACTTTTCTTTGAGTTAGTAGCCATTTAGAAACGGTTATAGTATGTAATGTTATTTTGTTTAAAAATCTGGACTGGACAATTTATTTTAAAAAAAGGGAGAGATTGTAGTATCGATGATGTAATCGTGTACGGCCGAAATGAATTATGGGTGATTAAAAGCACATGGTCAAGTGTCGAGTTGAATCGGTATTGCGTGTACTTATTTTGGTTAAATCCGGATGTTTCACTGACCGTGAAACACTACAGTCACCAGCCCTCCCTTCTCACATATCCAACCCTCCCCTCTCCTGCCCTCCTTCAAAATTTGGATCTGTTAAGAATCACTAGCTATTGGTCTCATAAAAACAATCACAACTGTCCTCAAAATTTACAACTGTTATTATGTAACCATAGCTAAAACTGGTAGATAGATCAATCTATTATCTATTGAATAGATAACATATTTAAATTTTACATTTTAATTTTAGCATACACGTTCACAATTAAACGAGCCCCAGGCTCGCTGGTGAAATGTGTCTAAATAAAGTGCTTACTTACTTACTTACTTACTTACTTACTTACTTGAGGTAAGAAAATATTAACTTAATTACTATCATGAAACACTGACTGTTCCCAAACTTTTGAAATCACTCTCGCCATCCTTCTTCACTTGTATACTTGCTTTCAAATTCAAAGGAGAATTAACTTTAGAGACATATTTGTAAACAGATGTTAAGAAGGAAAAGGTCCTTGGAGTTAGCTCCCGACTCATGGGCAATGTGTTAGCAAAAATCCTTTGATCCATTGAGCCGGTTAGAGTAAATTTATAAGTACGATCAGTGCATACATTTGCTACTTCTAGCGCAAAGGAGAAAGTTTCATAATCCCTTCTCAAGAATAAGAGACAATTCAAATCCAAGTCTTTCACAGTTGTCTCTGAACCAAGCATTTTACGTGGAACACCATTCTCAAACAGTACTCCATTCTTTGCACAGTAATTGCACATACATCTAATTAGTGTTTATTAAAAAAGAGCACATCACAACCTTAAAAATCAATAACATCAGCCAACATCTTACCTCCCACATACTGCTGTTGTATTGCGTCATTCATGTATCCAGCTGCAAATTCTGGCAGCCATTTTTGATTATCTGCATTATCTTTGATATGACCTTCTTAATCAAGGCCCTCGCACTTACCACCTGGTCAGCGGAAGCATGTACAAGTCTGCATATGTGCGGTTGGCAGGAACGACTGAGAGTTCATTTTCTCAGGGTCGTGAAACTCATGAGAGCTTTGTGCAAATCACGTAGGATGAAGAGCCGCTTTTGATTTGTGAACAAGGCAGCCGTCCTTTGTGGTCCCAGCTTTTCTTTAACACCATCAGTAACAATCATGAAGAACGTTGGATCGAATAACTCTCTTCTACCTTCTTCTGTGTAACTAAACGGCGTCATTTTGTGGCCATGGTCTGAAAATATGATGGTAAGGGTGTCAGTAAAGCCTGCCAAGTTGCCATTTATGTTGATCATCCGCTTTCCAGTCATTTCATGTCCAGTGTTAAAATACATGTACGACAGCAAAGGTTTTGCCTTTTCATCTTTTTGTAAAGCAGTGTACACCTTCGTTATGTAGTCCATGAAATACCAACTGAAAAACTGGCCATTGAAACACACCCTAGCAGGAGAATCATAGTGGTTTGTTCTGTCGTACCTGTTCACTACTGTGCTGGAAAAATGTGTCAAGCCATAGTGGTCAATTTTTTTCTTGATCAACTTTTCTTGTAATTCCTTCCACCCGTGGTGAAATAAAACACTGATGC